GTTTGCCATCTCTTCACTCGTTTACCGCATTGAGCTCGTCATCCTCCACCTGCCTGATGCCCTTCACCTGTGTACCCATGCGCAACGTGAGAGAGGAGCATGAGTCCAACGCGTGCATGCCAGCGAGGATCTAGATCAGACGGCAGCGAGATGAGTCTACGTTCCTGCTCCCTACCCCCTCACCTCGGGAATGTAATGCATCAACATGTTCTCCACTCCATTCTTCAGCGTTACCGCTGACGAGGGGCAGCCCGAGCACGAGCCTGCCAGGCGCACACTGACAAGCCCACTCTCGGGGTCGAATCCCTCGTAAAAAATGTCCCCGCCGTCCTCCTGCACTGCGGGCCGGATGCGCGACTCCATCAGCTCCTTGACCATGGCCACCACCTCGTCGTCTGTGTCCAGGATCGTCGTGTCGCTCACGATTGCGTGGTCGCTGACTATCACCCCCCCCTCCGCGTAGTGGTCCATCACGGTGGCGAAGATCTCAGGATTCAGATTCTAGCCGGAACAGGAATGGATGTACGTGAGAGCCAAAAAGAATCAACGGCCCATCTTCCAGAACTCTGGCAATTGTGTATCCGAAATCTCAAGGGCACGAATTCGTATTGCTTGTCTACGAACCTGCCAGATGATACCAGGCGACTTGGTGATGGTGATGAAAGTCCGTCCCAGGAAGACTCCCATCACACCCTCGATCTTCAGGAGTTTCTTGGCCAATGGAGAGCGGTTCACCTCCATGTCTCCTTGTCGGAAATACATACCCGTGCCGTACTTCTCGTCCAACACCAGCTCTCCCGGTACGTATTTTAAGGACTCGGGGTTAGGCGTGCTTTCCGTCTGGATGAACATGCTCCGCCTTTGAATGTGCCCTGGGACAGCTAATCCTGAAGTGCGCGACGCGGAAGATGGCCACATATAATTTGCGGCCAAGTGGCTAGAGGACTTCCGCAGATTTGACGCCTGGCGCCGTGTAGTCCGGTGCAGGACTCTAAGCGAGTTCAGAGAGCGTCGGCATGCGAATGCAGCCGACTCCCAAGTCACCGCATTGAGCGGTTTGGCAAAAGCAGGCCAAATGCGCCGCATGCTGCCTGTCCAAGGAATAATTTGTTCAGTTAGTGCATGAACACCGGAGGTCGATGCCGTGTGGGGAAGCACTTTGTGTTACGCAGCAACTTGCGACAACCTCGCAGAAATTTCTCGGCCGCCTCGCCGCTTGATCTCCCTCCTTATTCCACTTGTACTGCTTCCCGCAAGTCCTTTCTTCGATGCAACCGGCATACTTTAACGCACACTTCTCTACTCAAAGCATTGAATCCCACTTCAGGGCCACTCGTTGCTGCCTCTTACGCCTTAGTCGAGGGCTCAAAAGCAACGTCGGTAGTATCGTTGCCTCCTCCCCGGCCTTCGTCCCGCAATCACCCATGTTGTGATGGACGCCATCATCGTCAAGTACGACCAAGGTTCGTGTCGACTTAGGATTTAGCATTGTATCTCAAGGAGTGATAGTGACATCTCTTCTTCTCGCAAAACCGAGCCGTGCATACACCGTCTGAATCCCCTCGGCCATGACTAACCTCCTCACAGGCCAAGCAAGCTTCATACGCTACACTATCTTGGTCACCCTCGGCGACCAGTCTTGGTCCATACTCCGGCGATTCAATGATTTTAGTCATTTACACGAGGCCCTGTGTCGTTCTTTTCCACATTTCCCCGGCCGTCTTCCCCCGAAGAAATGGTTTGGCCGCTTCAATCCTGAATTTTTGCAGGAACGGAAGGTTGAGCTGCAACAATATTTAGATTCGGTCACTTCTTTGCCAGGATTTCCGGAGAGAAGTCAGGAGGGCTGCGTGTTCTTTGAGGTGAGCATGCCTTGGTATCGTGATGAGGCCATTAAGTGAGAGCACGTACACGGGGCTGGAGGGGCGTGCGTTGTTAAGGAAGCCGATGTGTTGAGACGTGGAATATGGCTGATCGTTACACTTTTACAGGTGGATCGCCACTTGGCAGGACAGGACGCGGAGGATAAAGTTCATCAAGATGCGAGCGCTCTAGGAAGCCCGTACGTCCCCCTTGTGTCCCTTACGAAAGCCCCCCCCCTGCTCTCTCACTCCCTCAGAGCCCCGCCGCCGCACATGGCTTTAGTGCCCTCCTCTCTACCCTCGAGCTTTTTGCTCTCACTTCTACTTTCTCCTATTTTCTTCCTTGACGACTGCAGAGCCCAAGTGGAGGAGGCGCGCATCTCCTCCATCCTGTGGGAGGCCTCGCACGCATTCATCAACACATCCTCGGTAAGCCCCCCGCCCCCTGCGAGGGTCCCCTGCTCCCGATTCTCCCTCTCCTGTCACGATACGGGTGGGATGGAAGAGGTTCCGATGTATTTTAGGAGGCCACTCTGGGCCCGCCGTTTGTTTAAGGCGCGGTGCCCCAAACAGTCGTGACGAACATCTCGCGCACCTCCAACAAATACCCTCATCTGCACCCACCACCCTTGTCTTTCTCCCTGTCCTACGCACAGCCCCTGCATCAGGTGTCAATTGAACAAATGGACCCCGAGGAGCTCGCACAACAACGCAGCAAGCTGTTGCAACGCACTTCTGGTAAGGCTGCACGGCTTTTCCCCCACCTTCTTTCCTGTCGTTTCCTGCATGAAGGCCTTTGCATTCCGCCAGGAGGGGGTAACATGTACCTCCATTCAAGCCTGGACCTGTCCATCTTCTCTCTCCTATTCCCATCAGGCCTCCGTGTCCTCACTGCCACAGTCCCCAGATTGATTTCTGCGACTCACCTGCAGCAGGCGCATCGACAGGGGCAGCCACAGCCTGGTCACGACGTTGGAGGAAGGGGGAAGAGCGTACGCCTTCGCACAGGGGGAAGGGGGGTCCATGGATCGGACGGGAGAGAGTGTAGCAGAGGCAGTATAGAGGAGGGAGGAGTGGGGGTGATAGACGTTCTCTCAGCCCCGTCGAGGATGACTCTCGGCGCGCAGGCCGACCTGTTGGAGCAGCAAGGCTTGAGCGTGGCGGATAAGTTGAGAGAAGCGCGCCTGATACGGACGACCGACGACAAGGACTTGATATACAGGGTGGGGGAGGAGAGGGCCTAAAGAGTTCTCGGGGCCTCGAGAGGAAGCGTATTGGGGGAGGATGTTGTCGGAGCGGATTTTGGAGGAGGCGCAGGCTTGAGGTGCCCAGTAAAGCCAGTAAACGTGCTTCACTGCCTATCCATTGCATATCAGATCGAATTTATAACTAGAAGCAATCACAAAAGAAATGCGCGGTACCAACGGAAACGATCGTGAAAAGATATCGCCTGCTTTTCGTGCCCTGTTTTTCTGACGGGCCCGCGAAGCGGCTGATTGACAGCCACAGCGTCTGATCCCGACTTTCCAGCCATCTCACCCATCTGCCCACTGTGGTGTCAGCTGCCTCGTCCCCAGCCCCAGGGGGCCTACCTGGACGCGGCTATCAGACCGCAAGAGGTGGCGGTCAGGCCAAAGGCCGCCGCCAACACGCCCAGGTTCCGCCTGCCCCTGATCTCCCCGAAGACCACAACGCCCCAGAGGGAGGCGACCAGCCCCGGCGTAGCGGTAATGATGGGGAAGGTGACGGCCAGAGAGGTGAGGCGCTGGTTGGCGACAAACCAGGCGACCATGGCGACCGCCCACACGAGGCCCGCGAGGAAGGCGGGGAGCAGGGCGGCGGGGTAGAGCTCGAAGGGCCTGAAGGCAGTGGGGGAAAAGCCCGAGGGGCCCTTCTTGCCTCCTCGGCGGGAGTAGGCGCCTGCCAGGGCGTGGAGGAGGAGGGCGAGAAGGAAAAAGCTGGACGAGGCCAAGAATATCCCGGAAAAGTGTGCGAAGACGAAGTCAAGCATTTGCAGGTCTTGATATCTGGCGAAAGAGGAGTCAGGCTCGGCGGCGCGGTCCATGATGTGGTAGGAGGGGTTGAAGGAGGCGCCGAAGAAGAGGCCGGCCAGGAGGGCCGCCGAGGCCCCAAGGAAGACGCGGAGAGGCCCGGTGACGGAGGGAAGGAATGCGTCCGCTGGGCAAGGTCAAAAAGGAGAAGGGGCAGGGGGGTGTAAGGGGCGGATCGTGGTCAGAGTTCCCGGATGTGCGAAGGAGAGAGACACCCAAGGGGAGAATTTTATGGACTCGCGCGGGCCAGATATTTCCCGCCCACCTACCTCCGTGCTCATCGCGCCCGTCCCCTGTGAGCCCCCGCCCGCCGCGAGCGCCGCTCGTTCCCCCGAGGACCCCCTCTTCGTCATCCTCCTCCTCGTCCCTCTCGATCAGGAGGCTACTGCGAAGCGCTGGGCTCGCCAACCTGTGGGGCATCCTCTTCCTGCGATGGGCTCTCCGAGACGAGGCGGAAGAGGCATCGCGCGTGGACTCGGTCGGCTTGACGACGAGATAGACGAGGAGGGCGAGCAGAGCCGTCGCCGCCCCGGCGTAGTTCAAAACCGGCTTGGAGACTTGCTGCTTTTCCACGCCCAGGATACCGAAGGTGCTCGAGGCCCACCCCACGCACATATTGCTAATGCCCCAGATCAGCAGCGAGAGGCCAAGGCCTATGAGCTTGATGGCGGGGACGGAGAGGAGGTTCCCCGTGCTCCATAAGACGCCCCCCAGGAGGGCAAGAGGAGGCGTGGAGGGGAAGCCGCGATAGACTCCCACCCCTAGACCCACTAGCCACACAGCCCAACAGAAAAAGAATTGGAACGCAAGCCCATTCCCTGTCTCACACCTGTGATGTCGTACAATACAAAAATGAGGACGCGGGAATGAAAGGAAAAATAAGTCTTCGCTTAAGCTATAGTCCATATAAGTGCACAGCTGCCATCGCGCAGTCATGAATTGCACCCATGAATAAAAATTTCCCAACAAGTACCGCTGTTATGCTCGGACAGAGGGATCCAGCCAGTTAAGCCTGGAATCGCTTGCCTCATGGCCCATCCGTGGCGGGATGCTGGCAAATTTCACACTTACTTCTTCACAGGAATGTAATTGGATCCGAAACCCAAAGCTGCGACAAGTATGGCTAGGTAGCCAATGGTAGCATCGTTTGCCATCTCTTCACGCACTTGTGATCATCAAGTACCCACTTTCTGAAGTCCGAGTAGAGGGGTGTTGATGGCGACCGCTTTTTTTTTAACACCTTGTTTCAAATGAAATTGGGAGGAGAAAACATGACTTAGACCGCGTCAAGGACCAAAAAATGTGAAACACGTCATCCTTCACAAAGGAATTTTCTGCGGGGCTTGCACACGGTTTGAAACACACATGTCCATGTAGTCATGGTGGCGCCACAAGAAGAATGCCGCCAAAGGCGAAATATGAGGAGAGATGGGGCGGCTTGGGAACACTCGATTTTCAGTATATGCTGTGCTGACGTCAATAACAAAAATTTTAAGGGTTCATGATATGCAAAGATTAAACAAATCTCTTGTCTCAACATTCCTTTGACAACTTCAAGTCTGTGAGGTTTGAAAAGCACATCATCGCAACCCAACAGGTCAACTATCACTTGGAGGCTGGCAAACATGCCTGAGTGCGAATGAAAAATCTTTACGGCTCAGACAACGAGAGCGCCATTTTTATAAAAAGGAATGGTACGAGAATTACGCTTGTAACGACGCAAAGAAGTAGGTTTGAAATGAATCATCTTGTGCATGTGGAACAAAGAGATCGACGCCCTTAGAGAAATCGAGTTTGCCTCGACGGCAGCAATTGTACTTTGCGAGTGACTACAAAACCGTGCCATAAATATCATGCCTGTGACTTAAATATTCTATAGAACCTAACAATGGTAAGTGGCTGAATAGTGATCCTCATTTCCGAGTTTCTGCAAAGATATGTTCCCAGACGAGGCGAAACAGAGGATGACTTTCGGAACAATTCTTGCCCTGTCTCCACTTGCCTTCCTCCGCATTACACTCCAATCACATTTTAAAGTGTGACTTGAGACCTGAAGAGGAGGCGACTGTTCTGATCAGCCAACTGACATTCGCATCGGACTTCCACCTACTTCTCCTTTGAAGAAGCGACTGCTGCGTTGGCGTCACTGTGTCGTCCATTGTGGTTGATTACGAAAATTACTTCAGACTTTGAAATAAGGATTGATTATGTCGTGACTGTAAAGATATAGCCTTCAAAAGGCTCTTGGGGTATTCTGTAATGTCACAGATTTAAAAAAACAGATTATCTCTGTCATCGTTCTCTTAGAGCATGTGACTGTCATTCCTCTTGCCAGCTCACCTTCTATTGACAAGCTCGAGTATCTCTTCCATAGGTGATATGGACTCCCATAGTGCCACACCCTCATTGGAAACCAGGGCAACGTCCACTCCCACGCGCGCTCGATCTCCCTTCTCTTCGCGCGCCGCCCCCGTCTCCTCGCTCCCGCCCTGCTGACTTCTTTCCACCTCGCTTTTATCCTCCTTCCCTTTGTTTACCTCCTCTCCTATAACACCGCCATTTTCCAACAGAGCCCGGCAGCAGTCGAGGGAAAGCTTCAAAGCGTCTCGAAGATCCATGTCGGGCTCGTACTTTTCCTCCAGGACGGTCATGGCTGTCTCCGCGCCCCGCCCAACGGCGCAGGCCTTCCAAAGAGTGAAAGTGCCCGAGGGATCTGTTTTATAAATGCGCGGGAAAAGCTGCTTGTTGCTCTTGGTGGCGGGGTCTGGGGTCTCCTCTAGCAACCCTGCAATAAGGATACTGGATCCGTACGGGCGGCGCCGTCCTTGCATCGTGGCTTCCTGCTGCTTGGCGGCAATTACTTCCACAACCTCAGCCACAGGAATGTCCTCTCCAAAACGGTTTTCATGATCGGCTGCGGCTTGTTGGGCGGCGAGGAGAAGTGTGCGACTGTCTTGTCTAAGGCCTACGTGACTCAGGCATATGCCTTTAGTCAACCGCCAGAGCTTCGGAAGACCGCCTCCCTCAACAAGGGATAGAGGCTGTCTTTCACTTGGTGACCGCGAGGGAATGTAATTAAAAATGAAAAAAGGATAAGACAGAGTGTCGGGATTACGCCTGTGGTCCTTTCCATATGAGGTTCGTCATCTTCCACTGATGTCCCTCACGTCAGGCACTCTTTCTTGACAATTAACCCTCTCCACAACACCTCTATGCCGATGAAATTATTTCGTAATCCTCTCGTTCAATTTGACAGGCTCAATTTGACTCAGATAATGTTACTGGCCTCTGTGGGCACTCCGCCCGTATGCCATTCTCACCTCGGCGCAACCAACAATATCGCCTCTCCGAGAGAGAGCGCGATGAGAGGAGCCCCTCTTGACACAGCTCGAGCAGCAGCATCACTTTGAGGCAATTGACCCTTGGCATCAAAGCGTGTTAGAGGACTGATAGGGCTGAAGCTTTCGGCGAAAGTTCCAGATGACCATATTAAGTTGACGAGGACAAGGAGGAGGACCTTGGGGAGGTTAATCGAGGTGCCGTAGATCTCGAGCCTCGTGAGCATCCCCGACGCCGGCGTCAGAACTTCCGAAGAGGTTGCTATCGTTGTCATATTTGTGTGCAGAGGAATTCAATACCACATGTGAAGCGAAGGATCAAGGAAAAGTCGGACAGACTTTGAAAAAAGGGAGGCAACGGACAGCGAGAGCTCCCGTGGGAGCCGTGGGAGCCGACCTGGCGAGCTGAGGCGAGCACTTCTTAAGCACCCAAATACACTAGTACCCTCCAGAACTACACGGCGTCACGAGCTTTTCATCGTTTCGCGCGTATTCTTACAGAATTTTTTATATCTACATGGAGACTGACGTCTTCCTCGGATAGGAAGTCCGGGCAGTCACATGAAGTCACTGATCTTCAGTTTTTACGCGCTGCCATCTCCATAATTCCAGGGGGGCAGCCTTCCCGTCGGTCGTTGAATTCATGCCTGAAACTCGACAAGATTTAGGGGATCTGCTTGATGACTTAGAGCGGGCTCTTGCGGTACGTATTTCGCCCTACACTGGCCAGATTTAAAGACGCACATGTCATTTTCCTCTTGCTTAGTGTGAAACTTTCGAAATATTGCGGTAAGAAAATGTTTTTTTTTGGATTTCTAGCGCATAGCAATGTATTGTAGGTATTTGTCTCTGGAGCGTAGCCCGCCCTATCCCTCTGATTTTCATTGCGTTCCTCATTTCTCAGCCTAAATGTATGACGCAAAGTTCTGCATGACAAACGTCTTGTTATGCTTTAGATACTCTTGAAACAACCTTGTCTTGATCGGACTTTAACCCCTACCTTGGTCTGGAGGTCATATAGTTCCTGACTGTTGTATACGTCTTGTCATGCACTTTTACAGAAAACGTACGAGACTATGAATTCATTGATTTCAGCGAGCAAGCCTACCAAGGGTGCGGTAGAGGATTTGGCCGCATATTCCTTTAAATTCAATCTTTCTCTCCATAACCTGCAGCTTGCGACATCTGACTTTGCATCCGCAGCAAATGTCAAGACTATTGAGCCTGACACTATGCAGAAAAGCGGTGGTTCATAATCAAAGATGAGCCAGCCACGAAGCTACTGGAGAATTCTGTAAGAAAAATGTTTAAAGTTGAAAATGCTAACAGTGAAGTGATATCCTTTTTTAATGGAGTGTTGAGGTGAAGTCTAGCATCGTAGGGGAAAGCAGGATTCTGTGTCTTCCATTCTACACCTTGATAAAGCGAAGAAATCCGACAAAACCAAAGAGATTGTTCAAGTTTAAGATTTGTAAGCGTACAACTATGAACTTCTTCTCTCTGTAGGCCTGAGTGGTCGTATGCATACGATTCATGAAGTGAATCAGTATCGCTGGATTTTGCTTAGGAGTAAAGCACAACTAAGAAAATATGCTGCCTGGCAGGCATCCTGAGACATGAGGCAAGCGACGTAGCAATTGAATCCTAATTTAAGCCAGGGCATCTGTATGACTCTGTTAGTTAATTGATGAACCAATGAGCTTTAAAAAAAAATCGTTGCGCGTAATGTAGTTTTAATTCTCCGCCTTGAGGTGCGGGGCCATTTCGGACAAGGTTCTTTGGACGGAGATGGCAGCATGTGTCCCTTCTCCAAATTGGTCCGTGTGGTAGTTGAAATGCTGCCTTAAAATTCTGCTCGGTCATCCTGCCTTCGCATTCACTCCTTTCGAGCTGTCGGGTTCCTCACGAGGCCTCCGGGAGCGGATTGCGCAGAAAGGCGACCCGGAGACACAGAGACCATACACCGACTAAATTGCACTGGACGATACGGCATGGCGACGACGATGGCCAAGCATTGCTACGTGATTATTCGCCTTGTCATTCAGGGAGAAATGATGACACATGTGGGACGGTCTTTACATGGGAAGAGGGCATGAAAACAACATGGCCTGGCGGGATGGAGCGTCACACCTGTGTATGCGTTCGATCCACAAGCAACTCACCATTTGCGTCGGGGCCTGTCTCCAATCTGCTTTAGGCTACTTTTCTCTAATTTAGCCTATTCTATACAGACAGAGACACACAGGGATCATGGGAGACTCATGGGAAGATGATGACTTCACCCCAGTGGTGCCTCAAGCAGTGGTGCTGCCAACCAAGACATCCTGGGACGATGAGGATCTGGTAGGTCGTCCGCTACCCTTGAAGTGCTGCCCCTTAGTGTACTCATGCGCCCTTTGACGATTTTCGTCGAAAGTTTGGCCTGTGAAATGATTTGGAATGCTATAAGCTTATGCAAGGAAGAAAGTTGACTTGTACATATCTTGCGTATGCTTAAGCTAGGCTTTGATCCAGTTGTTACGAAGAAGGGCGCAAAGGCAAAGTTTTTTTGCGCGTAAATGCGCACTATATTGGCCGAAGTTGCATGCATGTGTCGTTAATATACGAAGAGAGAGGGAAGCTCGCTCACCGGTCGCTCAGAACCATCATTTTCGGTTCCCTTTTCCGACATGGCATCACAGCCAGAGGACCCTAACGCGGGCAAGACACCGGAGGAAATCGCAGCCGAGGCCGAGCGGCGGAGAAAGGCGGAAGAGGCTCGACAGGCGAGGGCACGAAAAAATGCGGAGCGAGCAGAATTGCGGCGGCAGGCGGAAGAGGAAGCGGAGCGGATGGCCAAAGAGACACCGGAGGAGCGCGCCCTGCGGGAGCGCCAGGCTGTGGAGAAGGCGGACTACGCCATGGCCGACGAGCTCTTCGGCCCCCCCGGCCAGCCCAGCAGTCGGCCCTTGTCCTCCCTCTCTCTCTCTTCCTCTGCCTCCTCCGTGGGCGCAGGCAAGGTGAGCGAGAGGGCCCGAGGCCCCGGCATGAGCGTGAAGGCCGCGCTGTGTGCTCACCTCCCCTTCCCCCTCCCCAGGCGCCCAACGCACCGACAGTCCTCAAAGCTCCCGGGGACTTCACGGCCCTGGCCAAGAGCCTGGGTCCTCAATTCAAGAAGGCGGCCAGCAGCAAGGACGTGACCGGCTTTGTATTGGAGCTGTTGGCCCGCGGGGGGAAGGATCCTGTGGGGGTGGAGGACTTGAATGAGCTGATCAAAGGTCTGCAGGCGCTGGCCGTGGAGAAGCAACGGCTTGCGGACGCGAACCGCAATAAGATCGGGGCGAAGCAGAAGGCGCTGGCGGCGAAGAAGAAGGAGCACAAGGCAAAGAGCGCGCAGCACAAGGAGGTGTTCGGCGCCGACTTCGACGAGGACGACCCCGACATGGACCAGTACTACGCCATGGAGGACGTGCGTGGGGCCTGGAGGCCTGGTTATCGGGCGGGGGTCTGGGGTTGGGTTCGTGCGCGCTTCTTTTTAGTCCGTTCTCTCACACGCGGCGTGTTTCCCCGACCTCGGGACGCGGCTCCGAGCACCTTGCCTTCTCACGGCGGGCTCTGGCCTACCGCCTTTCCTCCCTCCCTTCCCCTCACTCCACAGGAGTTCATGTAAGGGCACTGTAACCCCGGTTCCGCTTGACGAAGGCTGGGAGCGCCCTTTCGGTGGGATAAAATGGATGCTTTACCGCTGCGCTTCGGCTGAGGAAGAGAGAAATGCGAGCGGGGATCGGGGTCCTAGAAACGAAGAAAGGAGAACAAGTTCCTGGCCAAAGAAAAACAAGACAAATACCCTCTCCAGGCCTGGGCCCATTACTTTTTTTTGCTGTTTCTTATACCTGCACTCGTGCTTCTCTAGTCTGTCGAGACCTTACCTGATCTTCCTCCCTCCATCGCCCCCCGCCCCCCCCATCCGAGCAACCCTAGCAAACATTACCCGCGTCCTCCGTCCGCAC